CTTTCTACCTATCTGTCTATCTGTCTATCCATCTATCGATCGATCTCTCGATCTATCTATCTATCTATCCATCGATCTATGGATCTATCTGCCTATCTATCTGTCTACCTATCTATCTCTCCATCTATGTGTTTATATGCTTATTTTATTTCTTGCCTGTCTATTCATCTATGTGTTTGTCTGTGTTTGCATGAGCAGTATGGTAACACTATGGTATGCTGGAAGTAGACGGGTTTGGTTAGTGGCAGCTCCAGGTGTGTGTGCCGCCTGGGGCTTTGTGATGAGGTTTTAGATACTCAGAGGAGAGGGGCACTTGGTAAGTAGCTTGTAATCGGCATTCGGCCTTATAGCAGCGCTTTTTTGGCGCTTTCCTCATTATAACACAACTACTCATGACCTGCGTGCTAAATCTGCTGAGCCTCTGACAGTTGGCAAGCTCCCTGTAAGGCCTTTGGGGCGGGTGTTGTCCGCTAAACCGCATGCCCACAAAACCTTGTTCGGATTCTTCCCGCCCCTGTAGTAAATCAACCCATCCACCATCGCCAATTCGGTTTGGAGCTCAGGCTTTGAGGCCATGGGTTCGGGGTGTAGGGTTTTGAGGTCCACCAACATAGAGCTACATGGTAGTGAGAAGGGTCATTCACTTTCCAAAACCACCACCTAAACCCCAAACCCTGAATTTCAAACCCGTCCCAGACGAAAAAGAGCCCTCAAATAAAAAGAAACAAGGCATTCAACAAAAACATAGACTGAACCCCTAAACCCACTTCAGGGTTCAGGCTTCATGGCAGAATTGGCAAGAAACTGGAGGATGGCAGCAGCACGGTTTAAGGTTTATGCTTTATGCTTTGGGGTTCCGAGTTTAGTACCCAGAGCATGGTGTCGTACAGAAGTAAAGTTAATAGTGGCCTGAGTAGTTAATGACATCGTTGCTTCGGGTTTCTCATCTACATGATCCAGGAAGCTGTAGTCCTAATTAGGTCTTGCGTCAAGCGACAACCCTACCAAGCATCATGTACTCGTGGTTATTCAGCATGCATGTTCTTTCTCAACACGGTGAAATCGCCTGCAGCAGCCAGCAGACGCAGTGTCCATCTGCAGTGGACTTCATCTTCGTGGGTGAACGTGGTCTCGAGCTTGCTCACCTTCGCGATTGCTCAGATTATTTTGTCAGTGTGAACCAAACTCTAGCAGAAGCCCGCCGCGAAACAAGCTTTGACAGCCACGCGTCGATTTTCGTGGGTCGGTCATGTTGTATTTCTTTGGATTGGATTGGGCCCCGATGAATTCTTATCCGCCGCCCGAAATTCGTGTTTGGGGGTGCCAATCGTTCTCCCACTATGTTCTGTGTGCGACTCGGCATACCGGCTCGCACAGTCGTGCGTGTTTCCAAGGTATGTTCCCACCACAGGGCCATGTTTCGCGAATTTCGGGCCCCTTATGCATGCATGTATGTATGTAGGTATGCATGAATGCATTGCGTGCCCGTAAGTATCTAAGTCTATGACAGTATTCATGGAAAGCATGTGATGTATGCACAACATGTCACAGTACCGTGTCAGGGGTCTCCTTTGCTTCTGGGAGACACCGACGACTCTGTCTTCTTCGACAGTGAGGCCCGTCACGACTTGGAGCATTCCAGTGCCCGCGCTTCGGCGTGTTCTGCTTTGTACAGTTGGTAGCATTGTCAAAGGCCCCGGTAGCCAGTTTGTGGCATCAGTCTCCCTGCAGCTAACTACCACCCGATGGTTCTTGCAGGGATTCTACAACGCGGAGATGAAGCGCAGCTGGTCTGGAGTTCGTTGCTGGAAGACATGTTTCAGACGTCCCTCGAAGGTTCCGGAGTATGGCTGAGCTACAGTAGCTGCTAGCACGGGTCTTCGGCATTTGGGGACATCGCCGAGATCGAGTTGCATCCGCTTGTGGCGTGACTCAGGAGAGCAATTCGCCCCGCGCTTCGCGCTCGGACGGGATCAGACGGTGGCAGTGCCTCAGCGAGTCCCGTGTGTTCTTTAGTTGTTTTAGCGAAGTACTTGCAGGCCTGGACTGGTCAAGTAGTTGTGAATATATTCGGGTGTCCTTTTCGGTCAGCGATTTGTGACTGCCAACTGCTGGACTAGACTGCCTAGACCCCGCAAGCCGCTGCAATCTCCCGCGGTTTGTTGAGGCTTGTTGCTCCTTCTCTATTTACCATCACTCTCTTCGTGGATGTAACTTTTGTGCTTCTAGTCGGTCGAAGATTAGGGGATGAAGGGACGAAAGCCAAAGCGCACGGCCGCGTTTCAGGTGCTCCTCAACCTCGATGGAGCCAGCCCGAACAAGAACACCGCTCCCCGGCTGCAAGCCTCAGGGGCGTGTCTTTTCTTTTCACAAAGGGGTCGCAACATGGTCGCTACCTGTTCCTTGGTTAGCGGCTCGGCATTCCTGATGACCGGATGAGTTCAGAAGTTCTGGTTTTAGCAAGTCGGCTTTGGAATTGCTGGCTGAGGCAAGAGAAGAAGAGAGAGGGGAGACACAGAGTGCACTCACACGGGGTTCAAGCAAGCAAGCAAGTGCTGACGAGTTCTGGCTGAAGCCACGATACCATTCCAACTTATTGAATCGTTTGAACTTGTTGGATGAGGCCGCTCGAAGAACGCCTCCGCATTTTGCTTTAATGCAAGACCCTTGATCAAGCTTTCGGAGCTCCTGTGTTGTCAGGTGTCTCTCTTCAAAGCTGCTTGGCTTGGTGGAGTCAATGGCTACGGGCCAGTAAATACATCCTTCACAGAGGTTCAGAAAGCTCGACGGGATGCCAGCTTCGTGGCTTGCATTTCGGGTGAAATCTTGAAGTTTTGGGTGAATCTTTTTGCGCTCGATCGCAGCGCGCCTCGTGAGTCGACACCTGTGGTCTCTAGAAGATGCAGTGAAAGTCGTCTCCTATGTGGCTGCTCATGAGATCAGCAAGGGTAGGGCTGACAAGAGCCCCCAAACCCGAACACTGTACAGACCTAGTCCTTGAATCTAAACCCTGTTACGCTGATGCAATACCCTTAAGCCTGAATCTCCCAGACCCAAGACGTCAGCTCCTCTGTGCCTCTTGGAAGGATGGCGTTCGCGTTTCGCAGCCGCAGAAGCTGCCGGAGGCATTGGTCGGGAAGACCCTCTTCCCCCACGTGCCTCGACCTTTAGTCGAACTTTCTGGGTTTGACGCATTCATGTTTTATAGGGTGTGTAGGCTCCACGATTTACGATGTTCCCCGGGAGAGCAGTCAAGTTTGTGCGGTGTCTGAGGTTTGCTTCAAGAACATGACCCTGCATGTCAACTTCGCCTCCCCGCTCACGTTGCTGGCCGTGAGTTTGCTGGATTGGGGGCAGGGCTTGTCGGCTGGTGGCGAAGGGCAAGAATTCCTCCCTACGTTGTTCTGGTCAGGTTGGGCTGCTAGTTCACGTTGAAGTCTTTCTTCGATCGGACATGCAAAGCCCTACACCCGTCAAAATACCCGGAACAGGAGAAAGCTGCCAAATTCACAGTCAATTTCACTGACACACGTCGACTTTAAGTTGCCCAAGTCGGCATGCACGGAACGGAAGAGTGAATTCAGTGAATAACAGGTTCCTCACACACAGGACCTCTCATGTCTCTGAATTCCAACAGGCTCCTGAGCTTTCAGGAGCTTTGTTTCGAAGCCCCTAGCCTTAGGGCCTTAATCGTCGTAGGTTCGTCCTAGCCAGGCAATGCTCGCTGCAGCGTATTGCAGATGCAGTACTCGTAAGTGGTACTACAACTATAACTGGACTATAAGTATCTAAATAAACTCTGTGGGTTTCGTTGCTCCTAGGCCGCTAGCCTTCAAATGCTACGGCGTCGCCGAAGCTCCCGTGACGGATGCGGTGGCAGCAGCGAAGCCGAAGGTGGCCCTTGAGTATGGCACTCGGGTGTGGGGGTGGGGTCGGATGTGCTTTGAATCTGGCAGAATCTTTCGTGTAGTGGGTTGATGTTCGATTGGTGCTGCCTCTGGGTCCTGTTGCATCTAAGATTTTGACGCTGGAGCTTCCCCGTGAATGTCAGTTTGGTTGATGGAAGTTTCCGGTATGTTCTTTTGACAAGGGCCTCTGGAATGCCTTACCCCCAGTCGCTGCCTATGACAGGATGACAAGTTCGAAGTCCTTTTCCCGGTTGGGGTACCTGACGAAGGCGGCGCGGCACATCCTTTGATTGTCGAATCAAGTAAGGTGCCCCTAATGATCCTTTTGTTCATAATCCCATCCCAGGTACCTTTGACTGGCTGGATGACTTCCTGGCCAAGAACCCGAAGTTTGTTGAGCCTCATGGCTCATGGTCATGGAGCCCCCGGTTTCCCACAGTGTTTTCACCTGATACATGCCCAGGTCAGAAAGAAACTGTGCTTCCGAATACGGCGGAAAGCATTGTGGGGCGTAGGGTATTGGCAAACCGTTGTGATGTATTTATTTCAAAGCTCTCGGCACTGCGCAGGCCGCGCCTCGAGCTCCACACGCTTGCCTAGCCCTCTCAACCCTGGCCTGAGACCCTCTAAAATGTGGGAGTTTCCGAAATTAAGGGGTACCTTATTTTGGGGTCCTTATAATAAGGATCCTACTATTTAGGGTGCTATATTAGGGTCCCCTCTTTTAGGAAACCCCCATGTGGAGCACGGAACCTGTAGTTACCCGAGACAATCCCATGCCCCATGGATCGACGGCGTACAAGCTTCAGACCCTCCGCTCTCTGCTCATCACATGGTTCTGGCCTTCGGAGTGCTTTTTGATAGTTGGGGGCTTCAGGGCTGTCGGCTGCCGACTTGCACGGCTGTGTCCAGCATGACACAGGACCTCTTGCGTATGATGCATGACAATGAGTTCCGGAGCTCAGGTTGTCGGACCGCGCCATTCTGAAGTGGGCCGAGAAGAGCGGTTGCCCAGCTCGTTTCAGATTCGGTCGGGGCAATCCGGCTGTGGCACGCACCACATTCTCATAGGTTGCCATAAACAGAGCGAGGAGCAAGGCATTCGCGCGAATGCCTGCGCAAACCAGAGAGGTGCTACAAAACGCTCTGCCCTCCATGAGACTGATTCAAGCTTGAGAGGCTTCCACTGCGGAGAGGGACAAGCTTGGAAGCAGCTTGGCACCAGGGGTGGATGAGCTTTATTTTGCCGGGAAGCTGCGCTACCTGAAGATGTCAGGTAAAGCATCACGACAACACGCAGGATTAGAATTGCTCCGAGGCACTGCAACGACAAGCCTGACGTGCAGCACCGCGGCGTGCATGGAGTCAAGGGCTCTCAAGTTAAAGTTGAAACCGGAAGCTTTCGATCAAACCAGCCACCTTTTGATTCGCTTGCGGGTGAGCCGTGAGCTCATAGGTTCCGAGTGCCCTACCTGGACGACTTCTCCGCTCGGCGGATGATCCAGGTGCCGGTGCCGGTCCGTTGCACCGATGTTGTACCCGTGCCTGGGCGGCCCAAATTCGAATGTCAAGATCACCAGATGCAGGAGTACACCAAGTACACAGGTCACAGTCACAATACCGTGCGAGCTTGGCACCGGAAATCAATGTCGAGTTAAACGAGTTTTGCTTGGTCCACTGTGAAGTGAAGAATTTCCCTTTGGAGTTCCAGTGCAGGCCGTGGCCCCTTTGCAGCCGAGAAACTATGTCGCCGGGGCCCCAGAGAATTAAGGATGTCCTTCGAGATGTTTTAGGAAAAAGGCTGTAGGGAGTTTACGGAAATAAGCTTTATCTTCAGGATTCTTCAAGATGTGCTTCTGCACAAACGTTACATCAACGTGAGTTGTTGTTTTCGTTTGTCCCAGACGGGCCTCCGCACCGGGGAGTGCATGACGACAGTTTAGCGGCTCCTAGTTCTTGCGGAGGTTTTTTCTACAATTCGGAAACTGTCTGGGAGTGTCCCTGAAACGTACGTGCGTCGTTTTCAGCTCAGTGCTGTGGTCTTGAGGCGTGGTTCATGACACGATGTGCTCTGTGCGGCTTGCTCACCCGAGGTCATGGAGGTCAAGTCCAACCTCATAAAAGAGGACGGGCATCGAATCGAAGCGCTTTTGAGACGGCGTCGGGCTGGATTCGCCAGTCGCTCATCTTCGCAGTAACGACACATGGCCCGAGACCGCTACAAGACAGGAGCGGGAGCAGCTCATTAAGCGCTTCGCAGACAGTTGCTACAAGACAGTGGCCCAGGTGCGCATGGCTATGGCATATTATGGGTATTTGTGTTGGGCCTTGAAGTTTGGGGGCTGTGTGGGGGGGGGGGGAAGACTCGAAGCTTCTCGGAGGTGGTGATGGGCGAGCCTCCTGCCGACTTCAAAGAGAAGGCCGCTTGTGCTTGTCTTTGGGTTTAGCTTAGGGTTTCGAGATTTCGAGCTTTTATCCGCGGGTGTGTGTGTGTGTATGATGCAGCTTGGTACAGACAGACAGTCGAATCGCCAGGTGCACAAGGAGCTGTTGGCGGAAAAGCAGGAGAAAGTAACCCAGGAATGGAAGAAGCGCAAAGCAGAACGAGAGCAGGACGGCCGGACGGCTTGGTTACGAAGCTCAGGGTTAAAGCTTTGTTCATCGTTTATCTCGCTTCAGGCTTGGTAGAAAGGCTTTGAGAGGATCAGACTCAGATAGTCCTCAGATCAGCTCCATCCCCAGTGTCCAGATTGTCTTCGCGCTCTTCAGGAGAGGATCGCCAAGAAGCGGCAGAAAGAGCTGGAGGAGGCAATGTGGTTTGAGAGTTTCTTCCACGTTGGTTGGGAGTCTTTGACCACGTGGCCTTTGCAAGGCTTGAGTTCCCCCTCCAACGGAAGGGTTGATGGGCTTGTCTTCTGATTGAGCACCGACGAGTAGACTCTGGGTTTAACTCGAGGCGATCAAATGTCAGACCAGGTTCAGCTCTGCCTCTCATGGACTCATCCAGCAGCCTCCCATGTCTTTCGACGAAGCACAACACTTGTGGGCCAGATCGCCATAACATGCACAAGGGCGTATTGGCAGTGCAGCGACGCAGCTGAAGCAACAGAGGCCTGCCTTGCGCAGTTGATGACGTACAAGACTAAGACAAGACTTGTTGGATGGTGCTGTCCCGACCACAAAGGCCAGCAAGCTGCTCATCATATTTAATAGCCAAACTCGCCGCTGAGCGAAGCCCCCTCTACAGCAGACAGAGGGTGCAGCAGTGCAACTAAAGGTCCGTCCCTTCTGCATAGGCGAAGAAGCGGGCGGAGGAAGAGGCGAAGAAGCGTCTCGAGGCTGGGTGAGTTCCCCAAATTGCAGAATGTAGGAACCAAAGACGAGGATTTAGCCGGAATCGTTAACATGCGCGGCACACCATAGAGCGATGTTTGAAAGTGTGCCTGCACTGCTGAATCTTGCCACACAGACGGGGTTTTTGCCACGTGGTTTGACGGAGCAGCCATGTTCTGGAGGGCCCGAAAGACCTCAGTTACTGCCCCGCATCACTATACACGAATGATGCGATGAGGAGATCGAGCGCGCCAACGCGGCCGCCGCAGCCGCAGCAGCTGCCGCCGCAGCTGTGGAGGGGGGAGGGAGAGTTGGTGAGAGGATTGAGACCAGCCTTCAAAGTTCTGTCGGAAACGTCCCACGTAGCCATGCCATGCATGCTGCCTAACGGGGTGCAATCTTCACGATTCAGACCGGGTGAGGCTTCAGAAAAAACTTCTGCCCGCATGAATCCATCCCTTTTAACGGCCGAAGGAGGCAGCAGCTGCTGCAGCAGCTGAAGCAGGTGAGACAGAGATAAAGCAGGTGGGCACGAAGAATTTGCCGTGTGGATCTGGACATTCTAGACGGAGAATGTTGGCATGCAGGGATACAAAGCATGATGCAGAGCGGCTGTTGGGTTGCCAGGCAGATTTCCAGGAACGCACTGCTTCAGTTTTCAGTCAGCATACCGTTTCAACAAGCCATGCTGTCGGTTCCCACGCTGATCGCTTGAAGCAACAATCGAGGAGGACGCCGCGGCCGGCGATGTCAAGATGGAACAGCTCCTTGTCGTTGGCTGTCTGGCGGGTTCCTATTGCTTCAGCCAGGAGGGATACCAAAACGGAACACGTACATGAGGGAAGTATGGCATGCAGCCTTCAACTCATCTGACGGTTGCCGACAGCAGGCATAAACGGGTAGCACAACCTGGGATGATGCGTTGTAAGATTCTTGAGATACTGTACCTCGGGATGCTTGATTCACAGTGGATAAACTTGCTATACCCAGCGACCCGCCCTCAATCAATGCCATAGGCAACTGTAACTTTATTTTCACCACCACAATGCAAGCACAAAAGGATGGCATGTTGGCAGCTTCGGAAGGACGCCCTTGGAGCTGATAGGAATCCTGCTGCACCACCTGGACCTGGGAACCGTAAATCCAAAAAAGGCCAAGGCCTTGAAGCCCTAAGCCTCCCGGGCAAAGGTTCGAAGTTTCAGCAGGGTAGAGTGCCCAAAATCAGCTCGTTCCTAGCAGGTCCTAGCATTCCTCGAACTACCGATCGTGCGCAGCATTTAGTAGGTTGTATTTTGGCCCCTTGTTCCAAACTGTCATCTGCAAAAATGAGACTTGACCAGGGTACTGGTTGTCAGGTTTTGCCTTGCAGTTTTCAGGCTTAAGGAGGACCAACTTGGGGTTTAGGAGTCCAGCACCCGCGGAATGGCTTGTGGCGATCCCAAGAGTACCGAGTACTTGGGCCATCCCTAAACCCAGAAGCCTACTTGCTGTGGCACTTCGATGAACATCAGGGCCGAGACTGCAAAGACGGAGGAAGGCACGGAAGCAAAGCAGGCCGCAGGGACTGGGGATGCCATTTCGGAGAGGGGTAGGTGTGGGAGGTATTAAATAAAGGACCCAGAAGTTTCAGGGATTCTTCCTCCAGAAGAAAGCCAAGCGAGGCTGCAGCTCATGCTCGACTTAGAGGTTTTGTGCAACACAAACGAGAAAGAGCAGGAGGGGAGAGCGTTAAGATTTTCAAGGCTCTAAGCCGAGATTTCCGATTCCTTCAGCCACTTGATCGGGAAGAGCGGGCATCAATAAGACTGCGCCGGCGAGAGAGGTCGCCATGAGAGCCTTTCAGCTGGTGAGGATGAGACCATGGAGCCGAAGACCGAGGTGAAGCCTGAGGTCAAGGAGGAGGCAAAAGAGGAAGTGAAGGAGGAGGTCAAGGAGGAGGTCAAGGAGGAGGTGAAGGCCGCACAGCTGATCTGACTTAGAGTACCACTGCGAACTGCGTATCATCTTAGTTCTCCCCACCAACACGCCACTGGTATGTGCGGATGATACGGCCATGGCTGCCACGGCCGATGTACAGGAGGAACCCAAGCCAGAGGAGGAACCAGAGGACGCTGCAGTCCCCCAAGTCTTCCAGGAATGGTTCAAATTGCAGCATGCTAGCAGGCTAGGTGTTGAATTCGGGCCACGACTTGCCCAGCTTCCACCCTCCCATATCTTGATAGCAGCCATCACCTACTTCATATGACTATACTCCGATTCTTTTCGGAACTTCCTGGTGAGGAGCCAGACGAGCCCTGCCCTGTGGCAGAGCTCGACGATGCAGACAAGGCTCACTGCAGCATCTGCTTACAGGGAGGGCTGCGTGCCACATATATGTCTGCTTCGTGTCAGGCCACGTGGTTCAAGAAGAAGGCCGTGCATCTGGGCCGCAGACATGGTGAGAGCTAGGGCTGGCACAGAAGCATCGGCAAGGCCACTTGCATGCTTCCGTCTTTGAGCAGGACGAGCATGGACCGATCATTTGGACTGTAGTCTGGCGGTCTTCTGACGATGCGACTATTCGCATTCCGGATTCTCCAAAATCGCATTGCATGACCGACCCGCCTGCTCCTCGATTCTACAGCAGAGATCCTTGCTCAGCGGCCCTGGGTCTAAACATGGAAGCCCAAATGAGAGGTATTTGCACTAAACTCTGGCAGGTACTGTATCCCTACTGAGAGGCTCGTGTAATTGAGGGGCCCATCGGCGCATAAGGTCCGATCTGACGGCCTGGACCTTCGGAGGCTTGCTTTGTCATTGGGTCTGTAGGGTGTGCATATATAAATAAAGTGTATGTAGATATACACACATGTGCATAGAGTTCTGTTCTGGAGCTTGAGGGTGTTGGGGGTTTGGATTTGAGGCTTGGGACTTTACAGGGCTTAGGTTGGGTCTTGGGTTTTTTTGGGGCATCGTTGCACTCAAAAGCGGGCGACCTGTTCCCTCGCAAGCGCCCCGGATGCAGAGCACAAGTCTCGATGCAAGATGGCAGTCCTTAGGGATCTTTACGATGCTAAGGCTCCTGCTACGTCGGGGCCTCGTTTTTGCTAGTGCGCAGAATTGCCTTCCATCCTGCAGAGGATCTTTCTCGAAGTTCAGCATCCCAGACAAAGAGGAGGCGGGATGCCAAGGGTCTGACCGGCCTACCTGCCTTAAAGCCCCCCCCCCCCCATATTCTGCAACGAGGTCTACAGGACATTCATAATAAAAAGAGCGAAATGCGGGGCAGAACCCTAAGCGATGGTGCCTGCTTCGCTCCTCAGGGCTTCGCTGACATCCGCTACAGCTGGGCACCGGAAGCAGCTGCCAAGGAGTACCTGGGGCCTCTCGACTCGAAGCGCCTTTTTTGGTGGAGCCTTTCGGAGCCTGTTGGCCTGCTGCGCAGGCTGGCGTGTGCTTCAGTCAATCCTCCCGTTATGGGTTAAGTTGAATGGCTCTCCTGGTGACAACTGCAGGCATCTGCAGTATTTTTCTGGAGTTTGCACTTGTCCACCCCGTAGCGAACATGACGGTGGGTCTGGTGCGCACCATTACTCCGACAATCACAGCTTAGGCAGTTCCTTCGCAGATGCCACTCGGCAGGGTCATGGTTGTACTTCATGAAAGCCATTTTGTTCGAGAGGATGCACGCTTACTGCAGCTTGGGTCTGTCGGGTTCTTTGGCATGCTCCTTGCGCTCCGAAAGCAAAGGCAAAATCACCACCAAGATCGAAGACCTTGCGCCGGGAGAGTGGTTGCTTGGGTTGTTTTTCGCCGTTTCCATGTTCTAGACTCATTCTAGACCCAAAAGGCAGAGTTGGGTCGGAAGACGGTGTTTTGCCTCCTTGACGATGACCACATGTGCTGGTCGATGTTGTTGGGCTTGGCCGACCCTAAGTCTCTGAGACCCAGAAACATTGAAGCCGACGGGTGCCAGCTGGCCTCATCAAGTCCCAAACTGGGGGCTTAGTTAGGGCTCCGGAGTGTCAGGCACCTCTATGGGAGTGTTTTGCAGTGTGCTGCAGGAGCCCAGGACAAGGAGTTGCATTAATCCAGCAAGGCATGTTGAACACCCTTACGGCCCGGTTGAGAGCCCGCAGAGTGGTCGAAGCCGTTTCCTCGGCATGAAATTCCAGAAGGCCATTGAGTCTGTTTCTTTCTGCCTAGCCGGCAGTTGTCTGTTTTCAATACCCAATGAAGCTGCTGGCCCTTTGCGGTGCATATGATTTGCTGTTCTAGATGTCACCACGCTCTGCGACATGGGGTGTCCAGGTTCAAGACCAAGCTCACCGAGTGGCAGGGCATCCTCGAGAGTTGGAAAGCCACGCAGAGGGAGTCTTTCGGCGGCCCTGTTTGTCCGGTGCAGGGTTCTTGCTAGGTTTCAGAAGGGATGTCAATAAATAATGCAAAAGATTGCTGCGCCTTCGGGTGATTGATTCACCGCCACTGTTTGAAGCTTGGCACCCAAACCGACCTGGCATTCAGCGCCTTGGAGTACGTAACATTAAAAAACGCCCGCATTTTTTCCGAAAGTTCATGGCCAAAGCCCAGAGGTTCCAAATGAGACCGCCGCCACCGCCGCCTGCTGAGCCACCAGCAGAGGCTCTGAAGGGGTGTAGGGTTCAAGACAGCATTTTGAACACGCATCACACAAGTCGCACGTTCTGACCGAAAAACAGCCCCTGCCCATTCTCGGTTCCCCCACCCACACATCTTCAACACTTTGAAAGAAGTGAAACGGTCGCAGGCGCTTCCATCAGCAGACGCCGAGCCGACAGCGGAGCCGCCTCTTGGCCTTTGTGGGTGGGCCACATGCAGCGGAACGTCTAGAAATCACTGATGCGCACCACCGGCTAGTGCTCAAGCATGACCAGCAGCATGACATCAGAGCTGATCGCGCGGCCCGAAACGTGCTTGCGGAAGAACATTTGCAGGCTTTTCAAACAATCACAGATCGCTTGCCCGCTTGAAAACCGCGATCACGACGAAACGCCTTTGAAAACTGCTTGGCCAGCTGGGCTGAGGCGGTCCGAGGCTTCCTGTGATGTGTGCCGTTGACTTCGCGTGTGAAAAGTCGCCGGTTTGGAAGGTTAGCGGTCTTGGTGATCATTGCGTCACTACGTGATTCTTGATGATGTGTCTGTGCCGCCTTACCTGCCGAAGCATCGGCATTGCGATTTTGTCCGATGTCCGCTCAGGGTAAACAGCTTCGTTGCTGTCCGACGTCGCTATCAGACGCCGGGTGTTTGCTTATCTCGGCTTATAAGTAGCGTTATCGAAGTTGTCACGAGAGCTTCTGGTCTTTTCTGAGGACGCCTGCTGCGTCTGCAGGAGAGGGCACCGATGGTCAGGCGAGTCAAAGGGTACCGGATCCCGCGAAAAGCATGCGTATGCAGTATATGCATATGCATGCATGCGCACAAGCAGGCTATATGTATATTGGAAGCCAGAAGATTGGGTGTGTGTGTACACATATATATTTATATGTATACACATAAGTTGATATAACTGAATTGTTTAATGTACACATGTATATATATATACACACATGTACATACACATACATACATGCATAAATACATACTTACATACACGTCTATACAGCGTGTACTAATTATGATCCATTTATACCCGTCTGTCTCTCTCTCTCTCTCTACCTCTGTCTCGCTGCCTCTCCCATTCAAGAAAGGGTTTGCTTGCACCAGGCAAGTCGCTTTGCTTCGTGCTAGTACCCTGTCAGGTGCCGCCACCACCGGCACCGCCACCTCCAGCAGAACCGGCCGGGGAGGCGACAGAGGCTCCGAAGGAGGCGACTCCGGTGACGAAGGCTCTGTGGGCATCCCCGGCAAAGTCCAATTCAGAGGCACCTTAAGAAGCCTTTTGGCAGGCACCCGAGAAGCCAGTCCACGAGGAGCTTCCGCTCTGCTTTGGAGCTTTTCAGTTTCGCAGTGATCGCAGCATTGCCGGATCAGTTGCCGGGTGTCTCTGTGCCCGACGCTGGTTTTTGCTGAGATCAGACGTAATCCGCGCCAATCCGATGGCTGAATCGTTTCCTTGATCAGGTTGACGTCATGTCGGTGCAGGATGTGTGCAACGTGCGCCACTGGACCCGAACTAAACCACTCACCCGAATTTGAATCACTCACCCGATGCCTTGTGGTTCTCCCGACCAGTCCGCTGTAGCCGTGATTCAGCCATGCAGCTGTCGGCACGCTCTGAAAGTACACCGTGAAACTTGCGTTCCCACTGTTCCAGAAGGCTGTGGAGTCAGACTGTAGAGTTCTGAGCCGAGCCCGAACTCAGGAAATGAGACGCCCTTGTTTGCACTCTTCACCTTCGAGGACTATCACGGCCCATACTAGCGACCATCGAGCTGGATATAAAAGATAGGGGTATACGGGGTAGACTTTGATGATGTCTGCCTGCCTGCCTGCCTGCCTGCCTGCCTGCGTGTCTGTCTGTGTGTTTTTTGTCGCTTGGCGAGCATCTGTCTCCGTCTGTATGTAATATCTACTGATACATGTCCCCGGGATGCATGCCGGCAGGATTGGGTACTGGTCAACTTGCAACTTGGCCTGGCTTCAAGTGAAGCCTAGAGTGATCTATCTTACAATGTTTTTCTTCCGAAGGCTGCTTCCTTCCAGTGAAGGCTTCAGTATGTGCGGTGTTTCATTCAGAAGCCCTTGCAGTACATCTTGTAGTTATCATTCCCAGATGCAAGTTTCAGGCCGCCGACGAAAGTCTCAGTTGTGAGAGTGTAAACCCTAAACCCTAAACCCTAAACCCCTAAAACGGCCATATCTAGTTGAACTCAAGCTCGCGCTGGCTCCAGCTCGAGGCGAGCCGAGCTCTCGCTGCTGACCCTGGCATTTCTGCAGGACCGGATAGGGCAGTAGGGTTTAGGGTTTAGGGTTTAGGGTTTAGGGTTCTGAGGGTATGAGGGCCTGCTTTGGTCTCCTGTAATTTAAATCTTGCTTAGCTCTCCCCTCTGAGAGGGGGTAATAGCCGTCTTAATGCTTCCTTTTGCATAGTGTAGGAGTTTTCAATCAAAGGGGAGTTCGCTTCCTTGGTCATCAAGAGACAAACAGCTGCAGTGTGCGGATTCAAGACATGTAGGAGGTTCCGGGCTTGATTCTGATTGACAGCGGCTGCCTAGTTGAATGGTAGTGTACTAGAACCAACCTGTACAGGCGACAGGCAAGACAATAGCAACACGGGGATCTTGGTTTCGGGTGTTGTGACCTGTGCCCTAATCAGGGGGGCAAGAAGATGTCAGCATGTGCGAAATCCAGAAATCGCACAACATACCTGTTTTATCCGCACCAGGACGAGGCTTGGCGAGAACGAAGCGTTTAGAGGAAGAGACGGGGAGGAAGGTGGTCGATGACAAATGGCCTGTACTAATGTATGTATGTATGTATGTATGTATGTATGTATGTATGTATGTATGTATGTATTTCTACATATATATACACACAGAGCCTTTTTTGTTTTGCGTGCATTTGTTCACAGCCAGAAGCCGGACCCCACTTGGCTAGAAGCCATCCTTCCTGGCTGGAGGATGCTG